TTGCTTGTCGGCCGCTGGCCCCCTGCATGTGGAAGGTGGTGGAAAAACAGTGAAAGAAGTGGCGGTGGAAACCCTTTGTCCAGGGGTGGACACACACACACACACTTTTCAAACCCCGCTAAGGACACAAATGTCTCAGCCAGGATATTTGACCTCTCTTGCTGTGATTACTTGTGATCAAGGTGACACTGGATTAGTTGTGCAGTGCTGCTTGCGTACTCAATAGTTTCAAGAAAGTTAAGCAGTGCAGGCAAATGAACCACCATGAAACCAAGCCGCAGAGTATATATCTTCTGGAACCTTTGTGAAGCTTCTACCGGTGTGTCGGACACACCGGTGGAGGTTGCCCGGAAGCTCCACACCTGGCTCCCCGGGGAGCGGTCAAAGCGGGCATAGACAACTCAGAGAGTGTTTTTGTTTTTTTTCTATGTTCGGATGCCGACTTCGTGGACATTACGTCTCTCCTGGTGCCACCAGTGCTACAGAACATGACAGAACTGTATATATGTATAGATATATATATATATACACGGAAAACAGAAGTATACCCAGGTCGAACCTGAGCACTTACAATTTTGCACGCGACTGGCGTGGGCACTGATAATGAGAGGGTTTGGCTGATGTGCTTGTCTCCTCGTGTCTTGCTCAAACGTTCCTTGTGTTCATTTGCTGGGGCAGATGGTATGTCACCCTGCCGATTCCGAGTTCCCAAGCGCAACGAAGGGATGAATGGGATCGGCAGGCCACGGTGCCCTCAAGAGCGAGGACTAGTTGACAGATTCAAGGACTTGCTGAGGAGACCAATGCCTCCATTGTGTGGTGTCGGTGATGCTGGATTAGTAGTTATGATCAATGCACTAGCAGTGAATCGATATGTCACTTGTGTTTGAGCAAGGTAGGGGCCCATTGGACAGCACCGAAACAGCATTTAAAGATATGTCAGTACTTGTACTTGCGTACTAACCTCCATGCGTCCTCCTATACTTCAGGCTGAAGGAACTCTTGGCACTTCCCGCCTATTTGCTTTTTGATGATGGTGCTCTTCCATTGGACTCTGTGCGCTTGTGGCGGCAAGGGGCTCAAACCATGGTGAACTCCTGTGAGCAGGTTGGACCACGAAATGATTTGAAGGTGGAGCAGTTGTCCACTTAATGACTTGCTCGGGACCGGGATTCTATCAAAGGGTGCCCACTGCTCAACTATAACTATGTGAACGTGTGGAAGTTGGTGATTCGAAGGTGCTAGCTCAAGCTGGAAAGAAGCTGGAAAAAGACCGTGCCTCAGTAGCTGGAATGGTGGTCGGAGTGCTGTGTCCAGAAATGAAAGACATTAAAACCTTCGCCAGAAGTATGTATATATGTACTGTAGGCCCATGTAGGCCCTATATTCTGGACTCTGTAGAACTCACTTGTAAAGTAACCAGTAACCACATTGAAGAATCTCTGGCTTTTGCCGCCCGCCTCTGCTTTCTTGCAGGTCTTTGGAGCCTTGTTGGGCCCATTAAGCTCGGGTGAATCCCTGCAAGTCGTGGCTGGCTGGCTGAAAGGAGCCAGAGTGGCCTTGGAGTGGCTGGAGGAGACAGAGACCTCGCCGGCACTCAAGGCCTTGGAAGATCAGAAGGCACCGAGAAACTTGGTGGTCGTTCTGGTCGAAACGCAGGTCGAAGATGCAGAGAGTGAGTCGAGATCCACCGAACAGGAAGCTATGTTTAATTGAATGAGTATGAGCCATGAGTGATCAGCACCGTTTGAGACTTTGCCTGGGTGGCCTGGCCGCACCCCTTGAACTAACTCTCCTCAGTGTTTTAGTGCCACAAGTTCGCCTTGAGACCCTATACTCACTAGAAGGGTGACAGAGAGGGTCAGAGAGAGAGAGAGAGAGTGAGAGAGAGAGAGAGAGACAGAAAGAAAGGAAGGAAAGAAGGAAGGAAGAAAGAAAGATAGATAAATAAAGAAAGCAATAAATACATAACAAAAAAATAACATGAAGAAAGAACATACATATATCATTGCGAGCTTGTCGCGGCCCGCTATTTCTCGATCGGCCGGCCGGCCGGCAGGCTGCTACCACCACTACTACTACTACTACTACTGCTACTGCTACTGCTACTGCTACTGCTACTGCTACTACTACTACTACTACTACTACTACTACTACTACTACTACTACT